GTCTGAGGGGGGGGGTTGTAGTTTTAATTATATTTCATTATTTGATTCCAGAGTTTCTTGTTTAAAGGTGAGCTGGGAATAGTGTACTTGCACCTAGATGTGATGTAAATTGGATCTGACCAGGAGGGGGCTGATCTCTGCTCCCAAGCAACAAGGGATGGGACAAGAGGAAACGGCCTCAAGCTGCCCCAGGGCAGGTTTAGCTGGAGCTGAGGAACAATTCCTTGCCCAGAGGGTGCTCAGGCATTGGAACAGGCTGCCCAGGGCAGGGCTGGAGTCACCGTCCCTGCAAGTGTTCACACCCCGTGTAGACGAGGCCTCAGTGCCAGGGGTCAGTGGTGACCTTGGCACTGCTGCAGTAAAGGTTGGACCAGATGAGCTTAAAGGTCCTTTTCAACCTGGTTGTTTCTGTGATTATATGATTCCATTTCAGAGTTTCTTGTTTTAAAGTGAGCTGGGAATACTGTGCTTGCACCTAGATGTGATATAAATTGGATCATGGTGCTCCTTAGATATCCTGGTGGAATGTATTCCCTTAAAGAAGCAACTATAAAGCATTCCTTTTAATAGCTCTTTGTTTCAGCTTTGTTTTCAGGTGCATCCTCTTGGTGACAGTGCTAGGCTACAGAGTTGAAAAACTGGGCTTTGTTCAAAATATATAAAAGAGGCAGTAGGCTGGAGAACACTATGTAGAAACCAGAGGTGGATGGATGCCACTAGGCTTACATGCAGCATTTCCCCATGGTGAATGCATGATGAGTGATACATACATAAGGCAAAACTCATTTGTTGTGCTCTGTATTTGATGGGAACTTACACATTTCTCCAAGGCAGTTTCCTGCTTTTCCAACTCAGCTCCATAGAAACTGCTGGAGGTTGGAGATGATAAGTAGTATAGGTACACAAAACTATAACTAGAGAGCTATTACAGCTGGTGACAGAGGCAACTACCACAAAAGCTGCTCCTGGAGCCATTTCATTGCCCATGTGTAGTATAGTAGTTCCTGCATGGAATATCGAGAAAAAATGCTTGCCAATATTTCTGCATTTTAATTTAAATTGCTATGTAAATACTGTTTATTTCAGAGCTATCTATTTGCTCTGTGCCTTATTTAACATGATTTAACGTGTCTGTGGCCATTCACAAAGAGCTGGGGCATGATTATGAATCAGCTGCATAATACACAACTACATTTCCATTTCTTTTCAGCCCCGAATTTGGAGCATGTACTGGCAGTTGCAAATGAAGAAGGGTTTGTTAGACTGTATGATACTGAAGCTCAAACTCCCAGCAAACACATCTTTAAAGGTAAACTTTATACAGAATGTGATCTTCATTTGGTGTGACAAGTATGTGACTTACTGGAATCAAAGAAAGCTTTTTGCAAGTCATTTAAACATAAATGTGGGCAGTACTTAAATCCCTTCGTATACTTTGCTGAGTCTTCTCTACAAAGCCGCAGCATGAGTGCGCTCTTACAACAGTAGTGGTAGGTGAATTGTTGTTCTGTGTTGCTTTTCATGCCTCAGGCAAGCTGTTGACAAGTTGTCTGATTTCACTGCCTGTTGTTCCTTAGTCTTCAGCAAAATATCTGCAATGCACAGAACTAATCTTGGCTTTTGTTTTCTCCTTAGTATGGCAGGCTCACTCCAATGCCGTGTTTGACCTTGCCTGGGTACCAGGGGAACACAGGATTGTAAGCAGTCATTTACCACCTCACTTTATTTTTAATGCTTTGGCAACTGTGTGCAGAGAATGACTAAAGCTTTTCATGTTTTCCTCTGAAGGTCACTGCTTCAGGAGATCAGACAGCCAAGGTGTGGGATGTGCGAGCTGGCGAGCTGCTTGGCATATGCAAAGGTCACCAGTGCAGCCTCAAGTCAGTTGCTTTTTCTAGATTTGAGAAAGGTAAATGTTGATACTCTGTGTTGTCTGTGTTCTTTTCCCCCTGGCACGTCCATACTTTGGGGCTAAAAAAGGGCTTTGGAAACTGACAGTTACAAACAGCTCAGGCCAACTGAGCAGCAACCCAGCCAGTGAAGGAAGGCTAACTTGGAACTTCACAGTGACCTGATGCTAACGTGCACATTTCTGATCTTGGGCAAGGTTAAGATAGGATACCTACTTCCATACATAAGTGTGTAAATACTTCTTTCCTAAGCAGGTTTCTCTGGAGTAGTAGAAAAAAAAAGAATAGTAAGATTAAGGAAACTAGCTAAAAAGTACAGCAGAACAATGACCTGATTTTTATATTTCTAGGACTGGCATCAGAGGCACATAGATCACAACGTATCACATTTAGTTAATTAAACTAACATTTTTGGAAGCTAATAGCACTCTTTTTCTCTATCTCAGCTGTCTTCTGTACTGGAGGCAGAGATGGAAACATCATGGTTTGGGATACCAGATGCAACAAGAAAGGTAACTGAACTTTCTGATATGTATCGAAAAAGCTCAGTATCTCATGTAAAAATAGTACCCAGATGTACTTGTTGGACTAATGCTTTTGATTATAATATAAGCAACACTTCAGTTAAGAAAAGGATTGTCAGATAACAGTACTGTTGTAGTACACTACAGAGATGGAATAGGTATTTTTTCTATATATAAAATATTTTTTCACTTTGTAACAGTCTCAGATCTGCAGTATGATGTACACGCTGGCCTGATAATACCCTCTGTGTTGGTAAGGAGATAAGGGAATACAGAATACATCCCTGTGGGGAAGAGCACAAAGATAGATGGGCTGGGGTAGAGTGTTTAGGTCAGAGCCATCCAGAGGGGTAAAGAAAAGTTGAGAAGGCTCCTGCCACAGCAGGAAAGCAGGCAGAAAGTGCAGGATTAAAGGAGCTTGTGATTGCTGGGAGCAACTGAATGTGTTGTGAGAATACCTACTAAATGCAGAGTGAGCTCATTCTGCTCCTCTCTTTCTGCTTCCTGGAGCTTTTCCCTCCCCTGTCAGGTCATGCCCTTATGCCTTTTCCAGTTCCCTGCTCTGTCCTACCAGTTTCCTGGCCTGTGCTGCCAGAAAATTCTCCCATCTGTCCCAGGTTCCCTGGCTTTTCCAACTGGCAAGTGTGGAAAAAGAGGGACTCCACATCAGTGAAGTGGAAGGTATAGGAAAGAAAGTAGGAAAGTCAGTAGTAAAGCAGTAGGCTTCATAAAATGAGAAGTAGCAGACAAGAGGCTAAACAGAAAATGATAAAATAGAGTGGAAAAGCACTGGAAACCTTCCTGTGAGTGCAGTTCTGCTCAGGATGAGGTGGGTTGAATGCTTCAGGCCAGGGTGCATGCTGAATACCAGACCAAGGGGTAATGGTTTCCAAAAGCAGCCTGCCTAGACTAGTGTTAGTTTCAGTGTCCTTGCTACACTGACCTGTCACTTTTTGCAGCATATGCTCCTGTCTTCTACTGTGTTCTTCTCATCTGTTTTGTATGTAACTAACCATTTTTGTTTTCAGAATGCAGAGATTATTTTTTTAGGATTTATTCCAAGCTGATGCCTGGTTTATTAAAGTGATAGCAAAATTGCACAGAAACTATAATTTAAATGGCTTGGTTTCTTTCAGATGGATTTTATAGGCAGGTGAAACAAATCAGTGGAGCACACAATGTGGCTGACAAACAGACTCCTTCCAAACCAAAGAAGAAGAGGCAGAACCTAAGGGGACTTGCTCCCTTGGTGGTAGGTATCTGGGGTGCAAGCAAAATGTAGTCCTCTCTTCTGGGGACAATGTCATTCACAGAAGCCTCCCTAAGTAATCATCATGAGAAATACCTGGCTTCAATGTACTAAATGCTTCCATTTGTCTTTACAGAGGTAGCTTTTTGTGTCATGGTCACTTGCTATGGCTAATTTTAGACATTGTTTAGTTGTCTAACAACCCACATGTCATCAAAGCCATCTTTGTGCAGGTGCCATGTGAAAATACACCTGGTTTTTTCCAGAGGGGAAAGGAGTGGCCAGCATTCCTTTTTAAAGGGGGGAGATAGGCAGGGTTGTAGGGGTTCTTCTTTCTCTTCAC